ACTGCTGCCATATTGGTGTGAAATGAAAACCATTTCCGACGTCATCAGCTGTTTAAACAGCCTACGTCAAGGCGAAAAATAACATGCTGTCTACGTCACAACTGGTATTTGGGCGTGGGGGGATTTGTTACTTTAAGTTTGTAGTTTGTTACACACAGGCTTTATGAGGATAGGTCATCCTGTAATAGTAGTGTGTATCATCACTATCATTCTTGGGTATCTCCGAGTTTTCCGGACATTATTCCGAATTCCGGCCGGACGTCCCCGGACACCCTAAAAACCCAAACATGTCCGGGTAAATCCGGACGTATGGAAACCCTAGTAGGGTATTCAGTTCTAATAATTTTGCATTATTTAGAAACATGGCTGAAAATATTGTTTGGGGAAATATACCACTTTCCGATGAACCAATTAAAACTTTTCAGAAAACCGTAGAACATATTTTTAACTTAAGTTTTCCCCTTCGAAACTTATTTTCGGTTATATCGAAAAATTTACAAACTAACTATTCAGGCAGCAAAAAAACAACACTACAAACAGCGAGTAGACAACGCAAAAAACTCAGTTAAGGAGTATTGGTCGATTATAAATGAACTGCGTGGAAAGATACCAGCGATTCATTGATATAAATATCAACGCCGAAAACCTTAACAATTATTACTGCAGTATTGCCCAAAAACTCACAGGAGAACTTAAATCAAACAGGGATCCCCTGCATTTTATGCCCCGAAATTCATCCTCGGATGGGTTCTTATTGTTGCCAACCAATAAAACCGAAGTAGTGACAGTGATAAGGAATATTAAAAAGGACTATTCTTCTGGAATAGAGAACTTATCACTAAAAATATTCAAAAACCTCCCAGATGATGCCCTTAGTGCACTTACAGAGTGCATAAACTACTCCTTTGTTACCGGTGTCTTTCCTGACTGTCTAAAATTAGCAATAATTGTACCAATTTTTAAGGGCGGTGATACCGATGACCCCTCAAATTATCGTCCCATCTCACTGCTAAATACACTTTCGAAAATTATTGAAAGAATTGTTGAGACTAGGCTGATTGAATACTTGGGCAGAAATAAAATACTCGACTCGTCGCAGTTTGGTTTTCAAGAGTTAAAAGGTACCAATGATGCTATTTTCTCTTTTCTGGAAAAACTTTATTTGAGTTTGAATGATGGTGAGAGGGCCGCAGCGGTGTTTTGTTACTTTTCTAAGGCGTTCGATTGTGTCGATCACCAAATACTGCTGCGGAAGTTGAGCCATTATGGAATCAGGGGTAGGGAGTTGGAGTGGTTTAGGTCTTACCTAACTGGGAGAAGCCAATTTGTAAGATTGAATCAAAAGAACAATTCAGAACTCACCAATTTAACGCATGGCGTCCCACAAGGGTCTGTGCTTGGACCGCTCCTCTTCCTGCTTTACGTAAATGATCAGGACTAGAACTCTGTAACGGATAGAGATCGTTATCCCTATCGCTATGGCACTTGCTGTCTTCTTCTCTCTTATCGAAATCAATAGAGAGGGGACGCCACTAGAGATAGAGATATTGCTCGCTATCCGTTACAGAGTTCCAGCCCTGGCTTCTTTGGCGATTTCCGGATTTTTTACCATTTTTTCGGACGATACAACAATTTTGTGGAAACACAGGGATGCTTCAGTTCTAGCGCGCATTATAGAACAAGACCTGGATATCGTAAAAGAGTGGTGTGACTGTAACCGGTTGGTATTCAATGTGTCAAAAACAAATATTCTTTCGTTTAAGTGCAACTTGGAGAGTGTCTTAATGAAAGCGTATTGGAGAACAAGAGCTTCGTTAAATTCCTTGGTTTTCATATAGATGCTAATTTAAAATTTGAACACCATATCCAAACAATGAACAAAAAAGTTTCGCAAGCTTGCTATATTGTTAAAAGCATACCGCAGGAACTAGGCAAACATATGGCAAGAAACACCTATTATGCATTGATAGATTCCCAAATCAGATATGGAATCGCATTCTGGGGCTATGCAACTTTAAGAAATGTGCAATCGGTTTTTGTCTTGCAAAAAAGAGCCGTGAGGTATATTTGCCAAGTTGACTGTAGGCAGAGCTGTAAACCACTTTTTATACAAGAAAGTATTTTGACAGTACCAAGCATATTTGTTTTGGAAACAGCGTGTCTTGTGTTTAAGAGATTTCAAGGTTTTGAAAGAAATTCCTTGCATAATTTGCGAAACAATAACTTACCTTTTAGTGGAGTAAAAACGATATAAAAATGTTTCAAAATTTTTTTGGAAGGTCTAACCACATGAAACTTATACAGGCTGATCGGTTATGCTCTTGTGCATCCAAAATGGCTAATTACGGGGGCAGACATTTTTTATCTCAAAAAATGTGACAAATATGTCAAAATGTTATTTTCGTGTTTTTTTAAACCCACCACGCGATAACCCCGGAACTAATACACCTATCAACATATTTTTTTTTTAAATCGGTAGAGGACATATGAGCAGTGATAACTGTGCTAGTTTAAATCCCATAGTCACTCAATATTTTTTTGGAAACTGGATTGAACTCCAAATCGTACTCTAATTGCAGCATGTTTTTCGCTAAGCGAGAAACTTTTTTATTTGAACGAATTTTGCCATAGTATCTGCGTGTGATATGACAACAAAGTATCAAAAAAATTTAAAAAAAAAAATTCAACCATCTGGAACAAATAGTTTTCTAGTTATCCTTGATTGAAGTTATGAATATCCAGAGCGCGCGATGTACCTGCTTGTCGGCGACGCCGACGACACGGGCGGACGTAGGGATTTTACTGCGGATTTGAAAGTTGGTGCTCGAAAGGTTCCAAAATTTAAAGAATGTATTAAATCTTCTTCAAATAAAATGCCATAAGTAAATTATTCAACCAACTATTTCTTGGAAAAGGGGCCTTCTATACTTAGCAATGAGAAAAAAATAATAATAGCAGGATTCAAGAATGCCGAAAGTTGCTTTTTGCTGACCAAAAACGGTAAACCACAAAATTTAAAAAATTAAATGGCAACTAAGAAGAAGCTGATACGAGGATAATTCTTCACTTATCAAATGTTCTTCCGACTTGCAATTCCATTCTAGTAAAATCTGTGGATACAGATATTTTGATTTTGCTTGTAGTCGTCTATGTATGTGATGTGAGTATTTGTGTGAAATGTGTCATCTGCGTAGATGGACATTTTAGTATGAGGAATATTGGGAATGTCAGCCGTGTAAATATTATAGAGCAGTGGAGCCAGGACAGAACCTTGAGGAACTCCTGCTTCTATAGGTCTGACATTTGAGAAGGTATTTTTGTTGAGTTAGATATGGAAACATCTGGCTTTGAGGAAATTAATGATAATTTTGACAAGAGATAATCGTAGAAAATATTTGTCATGAAGCTTGACTAAGACCAGCATGCCAGATACGATCGAAGGCTTTTTCGACATCCAGCAGCACAACAGCCGTTTGGGAGCGGCGCTGCAAGGCGCGAATCGCTTCTTCAACCAACCTGGCAAGCTGAATCTCAGTAGAGTGATATGAACGAAAACCAAATTGTTCATCACGTAGAATGCTATCAAGATAATGTAAGGATTTGAGCTTTTCCTGAATTATTTTCTCAAGAATTTTAGAAAGTGAAGACACTGATTGATTTTGCTTTGTTTTGTTTGGACCGCATGGGGTGCACCCTCTGGACGCGGTTATCCAGTCGGGCAGTAGTTAACTGGTTATATTTAGGGCAACTTTTATAGCCTCTTCCTATCAGGGTGAACAGTGCGGATCTTGAATAGCGTTGCTCAATCACGAGTTGTTCTACAGCCAATCCTTGAACAGAACGGCGATCATGCTATCCGCCGCCTCCGTGCTGCTTTGTCACTAAGGACACTAAGTGCTTCCAGACTACACTAGCCTGATCCCGTCACAACTTGCCGATCGCCGAAGAACTTTGGAATCGTGAACGATGGGTTCGCCACATTCCCACGCCATTTAATATTGACTTAGACTTAAATAACAAGAACCTCATTAATTGAAATCAATCATATTATTTCAATAATCAATACAAAAAGGAAGCTTTATTTAATTACCAGTAAGAGTAGTAAGACAATGAACAACTAATAATTTTTTACCTATTATTATTAAGAGTAGTTCGTGTCCTATCGGTATCCAATGAAAAGGGGTGATTCGTTGGTTAGGACAAAAAATAAAAGGCGTGTTAAGTCTTTACCAACGTTTCGCCCAAAAGTTTAGGACTTCATCAGGGCTAAAATATATATTAGGAACATCAAAAAAGTGCTAACAAAAAAATGAAGTTTACATACCTTGTACTTAAAAAATTACGTGGCCAGAATTATAAAAAATAGTGCGAGATTTTCAGGATGGAACATTCGATTGCACATAAGAAAATCACAATACATTGATAAAATTGTTAAAAAACAGTAGAACAACAAAACTATAAAAATATAGAAAAAAAAATTGTAAAAATTAAAAGGACAAGTGATTACGATTACATTATATAAGCATAATAGATTTTACTAGAATGGAATTGCAAGTCGGAAGAATCATTTAATAAGTGAAGAATTATCCTCGTATCAGCTTCTTGGTTGCTATTAAATTTTTTAAATTTTGTGGTTTACCGTTTTTGGTCAACAGAAAGCAACTTTCGGCATTCTTGAATCCTGCTATTATTATTTTTTTCTCATTGCTAAGTATAGAAGGCCCCTTTTCCAAGAAATAGTTGGTTGAATAATATACTAATGCCGTTTTATTTGAAGAAGATATAATAAATTCTTTAAATTTTGGAACCTTTCGACCACCAATTTTCAAATCCGCAGTAAAATCCCTACGTCCGCCCGTGTCGTCGGCGTCGCTGACAAGCAGGTACATCGCGCGCTCTGGATATTCATAACTTCAATCAAGGATAACTTGAAAACTATTTGTTCCAGATGGTTGAATTTTTTTTTTTTAACTTTTTTGATACTTTATCGTCATATCATACGCAGATACTATGGCAAAATTCGTTCAAATAAAAAAGTTTCTCGCTTACCGAAAAACATGCTGCAATTAAAGTACGATTTGGAGTTCAATCCAGTTTCCAAAAAAAAATTGAGTCACTATGGGATTTAAACTAGCACAGTTATCACCGCTCATATGTCCTCTACCGATTAAAAAAAAATTATGTTGATAGGTTTATTAGTTCCGGAGTTATCGCGCGGTGGGTTTAAAAAAACACGAAAATAACATTTTGACATATTTGTCACATTTTTTGAGATAAAAAATGTCTGCCCCCGCGAAAAAAGTCGTAATTAGCCATTTTAGATGCACAAGAGCATAACCGATCATCCTGTATAGGTTTCATGTGGTTAGACCTCCAAAAAAAAAAATCGAGAAGGAAGCGACTTTTTCCCTTGTTTTTACTCCACTATTTGCCAATCCCAAAATCTGGCTTAACAAGAAATTCTATTATTTACGAAAGTATCAAAATATTTAATTATTTGCCGAACCAAATTAAATGCCAAAACAATTATTAAGGGTTTCGTAAATCTCTCAAGGAATTCCTAATTGAAAGGCATACTACAGTCTTGAAGAATTTTATCAGTAAAATTTAGTCTTCTTATTATAACAATCTTTTGTATCATTGTTCCCTCATACCAACTCATACATAATAAAATTGTCAATTCTGAAAGGTCCCAAATACCTAGTTGTTTTTTTGTTTTAGCATTTATTTATTTTTATATTGTTTTAAAGTGTTAACAAGGTTTCAAATATGTATATTTTTTTATTTTGTTTTTCTTCTTTGTTTGTGTAGGAATTTTTATACATTTTAACTATTTTTATAGTATTTTATCCTAGTACCTACTTTACTGAAAATATAAGAAATTTATTATTTATTATTATTTTTTATCTTTTTTTTAATATGTTTTTGATAATGTTGTTTCTGCTTTCTTTTATGTGCTTGTGATATTAACATTTTAGTCTATTTTATGTCGTTATGTTTTGATCTCTTGAAGTGATACATAGGTACCTACTTAACTTGAAAAATCAATTGGGTATTAGTTTAATTATTAATTTGAATATTGACTGTGATAAAAATTAAAATGTGTGTATAGTTTAAGAATCGCTTTGTCAATGGTTTTTATAAAATTTCGACAATAAAGCATTATTGAATTGAATTGAATTGAATTGTTTCTAGTTTAATACATCATTCTCAAGGCCATCCCCCTTTTTCAACCGAAGCTGTCCTTTTGTTCGGTGTCCCATCTTGATTAAAAAATTTCATGTTTCGTCATTCCGTCTTGCAATGCTCTATCACAATCTTGTTATGTGGCTAATCCTCAGCAACCAGAACTTTCGCTCTGCCTCCGGTTCATTGATTGATTGTCCGATGAATTAGTCTTATTCCTTTCGTGTTAAAAAGGATATAAACATCGGCATTTCATGTATTTGGACCTCTAGAGTTTTCCAAGTATCCAATTCCGAAGAATTCCAGCATTCATCTTTCTATCTTAAATTGCATAACTTGTAATTTGCCAGTATTCCGTTTTGTTGATGTTAGCCTCTATGCAGCCACCACACTAAATAGGTACTTTTTCCTTTAAACGCATTAAAATGGCTGATTTCACTTAGCCGAATACTGGCCATGTCATACGTATCGTATTCACAGTCTGTTGTAACCGAATGTTCCCAAAAGCCTCAAAAATCTCAAGCACCAGAAAGTTTTGGTTATAAAACAAACGTACACAAAGTGTAAAGTTTCTGGTTTCAGCTTCTCGCTCTATTAACCTCACAAATAATTTATTTGGTATTAGGTGTATGATTTCTCTTAGACCAAGGACTAAGTACTATAAACACAGAACTATCAATTGATTTGTAAATGAGATAAAACGTCTCCGAATCTCAGCGTGAATTTAAATTATTTGTGCAGGGAGCTAACAAAATTCAACTGCATAATCATGCATTGCTCTTTTTAACAAAAATTGACTCAGTCTTAAATAATTCATATACTGTTCTAGCCTCATCGGCTCCTACTCAATTTGAAGAGCTCAGCAAATCGCTAAAGATAAGTACCTAATAATTAAACTTTAAAAAATGTGAATTTCTCTTTGAGCAATAAATAGGCAAATACTTCATGTTCAACTTAGTCGTAAATACCCTAAAATACAATTCCATTAAATATTACTTTGGTGATAAATGATGCACAAACATATTTTGTCCGGTGTCTTCAAAGTTTTCTAAGGTGTTCGAAAAAGACTTTGTGACTTGTGTGTGGTGGATTTGGTGATGTGATTGAGCAATTTATTATTTTTGACGCCACGATGTCAAATTTGAAATCTTCTTATTGGCAATTCTTCAGTCTTATATGGTTAGTTACTTCTGTTGTCTATAAACCATCTGGAACAAAGAAAAATTATCAAGATTAGATATTTGTTGGTAGCTGTAGGCAGAGCTGTCAGAAAAAAGTATCTTAGTTACTTTAGAGTATCTTAGTTACTTTAGAGAATCTAAGATACTGTATCTTAAATACTTTTTATTTTTTGGCGAAAGTATCTGGTATCATCTTAGTTACTTTTTGAAAGGAGCTGTAACTTGTATTTTAAAAAAGTATCTTAGATACCGGAAAGTATCTTAGATACGAACAAGTATCTCAGATACTTAGATAAACGCGTCTAGATACTGAAAAGTATCTAAGATATTGAAAAGTGTCTTAGATACTGAAAAGTATCTTAGATAGGTAATGAGGAAAGTATCTAAGTTAACGAAAAGTATTGAAATTGCCGTGAAAAAAGTTCCCTGAGACGTTTACCCAAACCCGACCCAACAGCACAGAATATATAGCTAAACCGTAATAGTTATAGATAGTAGGTTTGTTCTCACAAGAGTCCCTGGCAGTTTGCAAACTGTCAGTGGGCATCGCCAATACATGTTTTCAATCCTGTCATTCCATTATAAATCGGTAACTTAGCTGAAAGATTGTTTCTGACAGGTTGCAAACTGTGTTTCAACCGACATAAGAACTGTTCTAGAAGGGTAATTTCCAGTTGATTGTTAAGTAGAATAAACGTTCAATTTATTGAAAAATGGGTGAGCAACTGGAAATTACTGATTCTGGAACGGTTCTCATGCCGATTGGAACAGAGCTTATTAAGATATGTTTGGCCAGTAAAGCTGAAGTACCTTTTGTACAAGACAATTCATGATAATAGAGGTATTCTTTCGATCTGAACAAACTGATTGTAATCACATCAGGTTTGTTTATGAGGCATCAAAAAAACAGTTAGGGCCAATCAAATCTTGGTAAAACCAGATGACAATTGTTTGAAACAAACCTCAAGTGACTTCGATCAGTTTTGTTCAGATCGAAAGAATACCTGGATTATCCCGATTCCTGTTTACATAAGGAAAATATTGTCGATAATGGTTTTTTCGAATTTGAAGAAAACAGTGTTCATGTGGATCAATCCACCGATATGAGAAGCTGTATTGATTTAGAGATCCTTTAATATACTCAAGAAGAATTGAACCTTCTCGAATTTGGGATTTTCAAACTATAAAATCTTATTAAGTATCTTAAAAAGTAACTTAAGATACGTATTTAAGATCCTTTTTTTAATGAGTAACTAAATACCCAAAGTAACTTCAGATACTTTTCCAAAAGTAACTTATCTTGTAACCAGGGTTGGATGGGACGACCGGGCAAATGCCCGGTGGGCCGGTCGGGCCGCAGGCCCGACGCGTCTTAAATTAATAATAAAATTTCAAAATTTATATATTTAACAAAAACATCATGAAAACTATCTAAATAAAACAATATTAACTATTAAGGCTGTGGTCCGAATATAACCAGGGTTGTGGATTCGCGGTCCGAAAGCGATCAAATTACTCTAGTACCTGGAAAAGTTGTTACTTTTGGACCTTGGTTGCCTGAAATCTCTGGTTAAACAAATGTCAAAATAGTTACCGACTATCGGATGTCGGTTCTGTTCGTTTTATCTGTAAATTCTGTCAACAATTTTTAATTTTATATTCGCGTTTCCTAGGTAGCCGGAATTTTCAGTAATCATCTGTCAACCGGATCGGTTACTTTGGTTTTAACATTTGGTTATATTCGAACCAAAGCCTTAAACTGAATATTATGCGTGAGGTCCGAAACCACTGGTGACGGTTTAGTTGAGAATGCAGTGTTACCAATCTGAATATGTGAAATTACATGATATGCTGGTCAAATTACATAATTTTACACGATTTCGTCTCACAATTACACGATTTATACACACGACCTTGGTACCTATTCAGTAACATCAAGAAGCAAGTATTTATGATTTTTGGAAATGGGTCAAATCTGAGGGTTAATCATCGCTCCTCAACCAAAAATGAAGATGTGGCAACGACAAAAAAGCGATCCGAAAGTAATCTAATTACTAATTACTCTGGTTCCTGGAAAAGTGGTTACTTTTGGACCTCAGTTTTCCTGCCAGGATGAGGCACCCCAGATGACGTCATACAGTTATCAGGCAACCTACCTCTCTCAAGCATCCTAGCCATAAGGGTAGTCACTTGACAGACCATTTGACAGACAAAAGATAATGGACCCAAGTAGCATTTTGATGACGATAACCACATAATACACCAAGATTAACGTTGTACTTAGTGTAGAGTTCAGGCATTTAGGAAACGACGCTCTCTAAACCACTGGACAACGTTGTCTTAGTGATGCGCAGGGCTTTAGTTAAACTACGACGTTGTGACAACGTTTACGCAACCGTCTACAATAAGTTAATATTTTGGGAATGGGAATAACATTCTGACAACGTTCAGGTGATAACTTAAGTTATCCTAAACGTTTTCTCGACGGAGATCCGACCTTGTGAGATTTAACTAGGCAGTTTTTCAGTTAAATTGAAAACGTTTCCGCGAAGTCACCTTTTCAACTAACTTTTTTTCAAATACAACCGCAAAATAAAAAAGTCGTTCAAAACCATCAGACCATCAAATTAAAAATGAAACTAGCCTTGAGCCTACAGATAAACTGCCTCATATTGACAAAAAAAAAATTATGTCATGAGGAAAATTCAGGGGAACAAGCCTACATGAAGACAGATAGATCCTAGAACTTAAGTTTAAATTCTTCAGGAACAAATGCCAACCCGAGGGCGAATCTGAATGAAGAATTAATATTAGTACCTAGCAACTAATTTTCCAGAGAAACAATAGTTGATGCAGGATAAGCAACTCGATCATGAGGAATGGTTTAATCAAATGGAATCGAGGAAATAACTCAATAATGAAGAAGAGATCAATCTAGACTAGACTAGAGGAAAAAATAATAATAATAATACGGCAACTGAATGGCACGGGGAGGCACGTAGGTAGAGTGTTCATAAGTTGAACTCAGTTCAGTTTTTGGTCCAATAAGCAACTCCAGTCACGTTTTGGGAAAAAACTTAGTTTTCTGGCAGACTAACGTTGAAAGTTAGTATGGTCCCGGCCATTGAACTTTGGTGCATTAACAGGTATAAACAAAGGATTGTAAAGCCTTTTTTAGTTTTCTAGGAACTATTCATATGCCTCCCGTTTAGCTCGCGTTTGAAGCGATATCAACTTCAAATATTGGTTGTCTAATTTTTTTTTCAATTTTTATTTTTATTTTTGAGTTTTGAGAAATTTGCAACGGATGGGAGGCGCGCGTGTTTTCTGGCATTAATCCATAGTACATTTACCAGTAAAGTGATACGCGTTGCTGATTTCTGTTTGTGTATCGTCTTTTTTCGGCAATATAAATAAGATATTTGAAGTATAAGAATAACACATTTAGATACGGTAGTAAGTTGAAAGAAAGTGTCCATTTTGACCATCAGTGAATATTTGGTTGAAAAATTTACTATTTCCTAAACACAACAAAAAGTAAACCCTCATCGCCATGAGAGAGGGCGCAGGTGTGTAGTTGTTTAATAAGTAAATTCAGCAACGTTTAGGAAACGACCAACTGCTACCTACAGTTGAAACTTTAACGTTTCAAAAACCCAGAAATGATTGACCAAATTGGTGCAAAACAAGGTTGTGACAACATTGTAACAAGGTCCTTTACGCAACTTCTGTTTGGTTGCGCAACTTTTTCAAACACGTCGCCGCAACGTTAAATTGCTGCTTGGGGAATGTAATGCAAGGAGCAATTAAGGGAAGAGAAAACGTCAAGTCCTATTTGTTTGTAAGAATGGGACCGTGAGCTATCTATATGTAATAATATCGAAAATGGAAATTCCAAAATATTCTTTTGTTTTCTTTACCTACAGTAAAATTTTTGAAACCCATTTTTCATTCTTGCTGTCCAAAGGAGGGCTGGATGAAAAAAAATGCCAGGGCCGGTTTGTCTGAGCCCATCCAACCCTGCTTGTAACTAGATACTTTTTAAAAGTATCTTTGACAGCTCTGGCTGTAGGCTCTTGCGAAGTATTTATTTTTTTAACAACTTGTGGAAAGTGATACTTTTTTGCCGCATGCGACTTCAGTTGACCGAACGACGAGAGACTTTTTCTGCAATCCGTATTTTTCGGACGACTGGACCTACTCAAGAAAGAGCAAGATATTTATTTTGGCTCAAACTTCAAATTGTCATAAATTTTCCAAAAAACATAGGCAAAACCAAAATTCGAACAAAAATTAAGTCCAAAAATGTCAAACCATTTCATAAATAAAACCCTGTCTAATATAGCAACATCCCATATTTATGTTGCCAGTCGCATAACACCTATGCATAACACTATGGAATGGAACATGAAAGAAGCCAAAAATTTAAAATTATTGTGGTTAATTTTTACTAACAAGAAAATGGAAATGGACTCCCGAATCGGATCATTCTATGTTTATCATTAATCACTTGTTGGCAAACTTCCTGGAAACTGATGGTCAATGCATTTAGAAAGGATGATGTTAGATGACTAAGTATACAAATTTGCATGACTTGCAGAGTCTCGCATTAAATCCGTGCAGTCATTAATTATGATAAAATTCTAATCTGGGCAAAATTTTAGAACGTGAAAGGCTCTTCTCGTCCCTATAAATTATAAAATTATGATAATTTGTGCATTAGTTTTTGCTAGAGTGAAAATGATGCTGATAGACTATACTTAATCTTTGAAACATTGGGCAATAATATGAATAAAAACGAAGTACCTATACCTGCTACTACTAGTGGTGGGAAAATATCGAATTCAAAAACTATCGATAGTTTGATAGTAGTGGTTGATTAACTATCGATATATCGATAGTACTATCGGTTTAAAAATATAACCTAGAACTGAAATGAAAATTGAAGATTCTAACTATTACTACTACTACAACGCTTTAAGAAAGAAACCAGTTATTTTGATTAAATAACATATTTATATTTTTAG